GTTTCATTCTTTACTATATGAAACAAATACACTTGCTTGTGTTTTTTTCTGTGTCTACAAATATATATGATTAGTATGATTAGATATTTTCACTTGGCTTAGAGAAATGAGCACTCATTCATTTATTTTGTGTGTGTTCTTCAATAATATTTTGGCTTTTTCTGCAGAGCAAAGGCTATCAGCTTTCAAACACTCTCTAAAAGTTCTTCCTATTTACTGTATATGTCTAAATTCCACATAGTTATGTTGAATACTATCAGTTACTCTTGACTCAGCCAAAATGGTTTTAAAGCAGTCAGGGAATATATTGGGGGACATATGCTGGTGAGCAGCGGATTTTTAAATTGCAAACAGTTCTGTATGGTTTCTCATGCACTGTCTCCTATGTCCATATGACAATTTGGACTGCAACTGTTTTGATCTCATTGTATCACTGTGTGTGACTTGAACTTTTCCATAACTACACTATTAGGAAGTTTAGATTCGATCAGAGTAAAGGTCATTTGTTGTTGATTATCTCATATGCTTTTTCTACTTAATATAAAAGTAAGTCAATGTATCATTCTTAAATGTTCTGTACTGTCAGATTCATAGTAGGAAAAACTAAAACCATTGTTAATCTTACAAGCTTTGTTAATCAGTTTACATCTAGTGTTTCATAACAAAGCCTGATGATCTTACTGGTCTTCTAGGAATACACCATATTTCTAGAAGTCCCAGTAAATGTTCCCATCACCTCAGAGCAAGTTTGTTTTTGCATGATGATCTCTTCAGTTGATTGAGGTTTCCTTTCTTTCTTCCCACTCATGACACATCATCCAAACATTCTTAATCTCCAGAGGAGCTGCAAAACACATTCCCATGAAAATTTTAAATCTCTAAAAGCAGTACACAAGAAAAAAAATAATAAAACCACCATAAAACTAGCCTTGCTTGCTTCTGACTGAATGACTTCAGTGAACTCTTTTGCCACAGTCGTTGTAAAGTATGTCTTTAAGGTCCAGGACTGCAATCAGACTGTCACAAACAGGGCTATTGCCTTTTGGACTGATTTCTATTATAAAACCAAAGAGCTCATTAATCTCATCTAGGGCTTTAGTGGGGAAAAAAAAAAAAAAAAAAAAGGGGGGTAATGATTTTGGGAGATTTATTGGCTGTACATCTTTGGTCTACCTCAAGCCACAGCATTTCTCTCAATGAGTCTTTTTTTTTTTTTCTAGAAAAGATGGTATCCAACATTACCATCATACAGTAGTCATTCAAGAATGCTTCATTTCTGTATTTCTTCAGCACACTATAAAGAAAAAATATATCTTTTGGTCTTCTACAGAGATACAGTAAAAGGCTTTACTTGAAAATAATTCATTGTACCAGTTTTGTTAAACTGATGCCTGCCATTTCACTAACTTGATGGAGACAGCAAGTTGTAATGGATACAGATTTTAGGCAAAAGGATGCTTGTCCCATTGGCTGTAACACAGTCTAACATCCTATGGACATAAGGTATTACAGGGCTTATGCATGATCCTGGCAGTATGCTTTGGGGTAAGAAATATTTCATGTTTATATCTGTTATATAACTTTATGTGAGCAAGATATGTAGTAGATTTATGTTCAAATGAGTGATGTCTTTCATTGTTACTATCATCAGGCCTTTGGATGCATTGCATATCTTCTGAATAAATGCTATCATTAATATGATCTTGGCTATGTGCCACAAAGAAGAATGTCAGTTAGAGATGTACTGGTTTAAATAGACATATTTATATGCACCAGGGTGAGATTCATTTGCGTGTGTGTGTGTGTGTGTGTGTGTGTGTGATAAATTACAATGCTCATGCAACCCCAGGGTATGCATTGCTTTTTTTCTTATGTAGGCTAAACCAGCCTGTGTTGTTTGCCGATGTAAATTTTCCCGTGCATGATGGATGGTGACTTGACTTGGCTGCTTGTAATGTTGCTGGAGTAATTTTTAGACTATCCCCTTCTATGTTTTTATATTCCAAAGGAGTCTGTGAAAGCTGCAAGGAACATTTTGCATCTATATGCAGACATTTAGCCCCGTCAACTGGTTTTTCAGAATCCTTTATGCACTCTTCAGTGAGTAAGTGTTTCCTCCCACTGAAATTTTGCTTTTTAACATTATTGTGAGAAACAACTGTGTTGTTCCTTCTAGTGGGTCTTGTCTTCTATACTAAAATGGTTTTATGTGGGTTTTTTAGGTTCAGTTACAATGTGTTCCCTTTATGAGCAAGTTGGCTTACCTCGATACACACAGGAATGGAGATTCAGCATCTGGCTGGCTGTAGGGGTTACCTTATGGGAGAGGCTCTGATATCACAACACCTTGAGCAAAACCAGGGAAAGAAAATTTCTACGTGGTGTTTTGCAGATTAACAAGGGAAGACAGGCCTACCACCTTAGAAGACAGTCTTAAAAGATACTGAGAAATTTAAGAACCTTGTAAAACTGCTTAAAATCATATTACAAGTAAAATTATTTATAAATAATATAAATACTAAAATATCAGTTACATGTTCAAATGGATCCTTTAGCAGCAACAGAGAATTGACTAATATTGCAGTCCTTGCATTATGTGGAAATTGGCCCATAGCCCAAACCAATGATGTTAAACACCCTGTTTCTTCAGCAAAGTAATTTCTGATTGCAGGATCTGTTTTCAGCTAAAGTAGCTTAATGTGGGACACTTGGAAACGCTCCGGAAGGGATATGTTTTCATAGTGTAATTGTGTCTCTTGATGCAGTAGGACATCAGAAACCAAATATTAATTTTGAAGAAAATATATAATATGGGGCCTTTACAGTGGTAATTTTGACTTGGAATATTTTAGCCCAAAAATATAAATGCACTTAAGAAACAGATTTGATTTTTAGACATTCTCAAGATGCTAAAGTTCTTTCAGATCAGGATTTAGACTGGACTTATGTCCACAGACAAGTGAAAATGTTAACAGTGGTAGTTTTCTGGCTCTATCTCTCTTTCTTATTGGCTTCAACAAATTGACTTCCATGACTCTAACTGTATCAATTTTTTTAATACTTAATGTCTACTTTAAATACCACCACTAAACAAAAGATAAACAGAAAGATGAAGGAATGAAAGTTCTGGGAAAATCTTACTCTCTGAAATCAGTAATAGATACAGGTTTGTAATTCTCCAAGAGTTACAGCACAAAACTACACAATAACATGTAACAGTCATACTGTAACATAACTGTCACACTATGAACTCACATCTTGCATAATACTGAAAAATGCGGGAGGACAGAATTGCTATTGTGGACCCTCATTATTCCTTGTACTACCTAGCTGAAAATAAATAATATTTAAAAAAAAAAACAAAACAACAAAAAACAAAACACAAAACACCTTAGTGGCCTGGACTGCTTTAAGGTGAATGACACCCATGGGAGCTCTGGTTTCAAAGTTAGGTTCAGTATAAAACAGGAAGACTTTCCAAACAGAAGAATGGGAAGGCCCCCTGGACATTTCTTGTGACATAGACTTCTATCTGCAGCCTAGAGTCTTATGGCAACTTGTCTTTCTATGATAATACAAGGCAGGTGGTTTTATGGGAAACTGTGGAAAAATCTTAGGAAAACTTCTCTGTCTCATTAATGAATCAATCAGCAAGCCAAGTGGGTTCAGATGCAGTCCACATTTGAGGTTTTGGCATGAAACAGAGATCCCCGAATTTCTTTCTTCGTTCAAGCTTCCCAAGAATATTTATTCAAGTTCATTTTGATTTAAGGGTCAACACACAATGTATATTTCCCTGGAATATAGCCCTCTAATCTGTTAAATACCTCTGTGTATACGGTTGTGATGAGTAAATCACTGCAGTAGTTTTGTCTGCATGAGGTCTTTCTGAAACTATCAAGTGATAGGATTGTTAGCAGAAGCCTGGCTAATCTGTTTTTTTTCTGCAATAACATGCCATAAATAAGAAAAAAAGGCAAGATGTGCCGTCAGATTCTGAACTTCATCTACTCCAGGGTGAACACAGAGTAACTGTACAGAAAACAAGACATTGCATTTAGGTTTATTCTGTTGTAACTTGGGTCAGAAACACCCCTTCAAAATGGTGTATATTTAATGATAGCATCATATTGTGGTGGTTTAAGCCCTGCTGGGACCGGAGACCACGTTGCCATTGCCCCTCCCCCACCCTCAGCCGGTCGGGCTGGCAGTGAGGCACAAACCCGGGTTAAAATAAGAAGAAATTTAATACAACAGTGTGATAATCTGAACAACAACAGTAGCAATGATAACAGCAAGAAAACAAAAATAACAGTAAGCAAGACAAAAGATATACAGAGAAATACCGCAAATGGTTATGGAAAAAGCCCGCCGTGAGCTCCCCTCCACCAAAACCACAAAGGAAAAAGTTCCCATGCTCCCGCACCGGGATCTGACATCAGCATGGTATGAATAACCCAGCTGGAAATCCCTTCCCCCTCTCTCTGCTGGGGAAACTTAACCCTATCCTAGCTGAACCAGGACACATATGTTGTATTTTTTTGTTGTTGGATTGTGGAGTTGTAGGGATTTTTCTTAAATCCACTTCTTGCCTAGTAGGGAGTTGATATTTATATCCCATCCTCTTTGAGAACCTCTAAATATTTCAGTACCAAGAGAGAACTTCTTTCCAGATTCACTTTCAGGCTGGAATAAAAAAATTAGAACAGTGAGAATTTAAAAAGAAAAGCAAAGAGCCAGAAGAAAATATGTAAGCTCCAAGCTTTTCCAGTGGTTGGATTTCTCACTAGGAAGCTCTTGCTGTGAAACCTGTCTCTGCCCCAATTAGTCAGGGACACGAGGCAGAGCAATAGAGCAGTCCACAATGAGCAAGGGAGAGATGAAATAATGTGGAAGGTAATACTGAAAAAACACATCTGAATAATGAGTTGGAAATATTAACTCTCTGCATGATTTTCTATTTTTGGTGAAATTTCTCATGTAATTGTTCTCTTTTTGAGGGATCGAGCTCCCTTCATCTTCACATCAGAGATGGAGTATTTCATCACAGAAGGTGGAAAAACCCACAGCGTTTTGAAGACTCTGTGGAGCTTTGCTGTCGGGCTTATAATACAGTCATGAAACACAGCTAGATACTCTTGAACCTGCTGGAAATGGTAAGAAGCTTGAGAATAAAACCAAAAAATCAGTTTCCTCTGGTGTCCTCTTCTCCTTTACCACTTTTCTGCTGCCCCCAGTAGCACTGTGATTTGAAGAAGTATCAGCTGCACTGCTGGAAATGATAGTGCTGGCACTTCTTGTGCAAAGAAGCTCACCAATTTCAGTACTAATTTCTGAGAAAGGAGAAGCTATGCTGCTTGTTTGGGTTTTTTTTTCCTTTTTTAATACATTTTTTTTTACAAAATAGCAGAAAACTGCAAAAGAAGATGGGTACAAGTCTCACATTCAGGAATTTCATTCAGCCCTTTTTCTAGGTCTTCAAGAAACTATTTATCAATCCTATTCATGGTTACAGCAAGACAAAGTATTTCATGGAATGGGTGATATGACAGTACCTAGCAGCACTGCAGTTAATAGTGATGCATTTAGAATGGGGTTTTGCACATTTCCATACTCCCTTCTTAGGGTGGCAAACACAGGAAAGAAAAAGCACTACCCATGTTGATACAGGTTTAACAATCCTTTTGTATAGGATTTTAAGATCTCTAGGAGTCTTCATCGCTTAGGTATTCCTACCGATTGATGTACTGTGGCACACTCCATAACTTATGCCTGTTTACTGTGTGTGAAACATTAATGATTTTACCCTTTGCAGGCAGCATGAGAATTTTAAATTAACTAGTATTTACTAGGTTGCTTAGTTAAATATTAAATGAAAACTTATGTCCAGGGCCCTGTGCAAAACCTAGGTGACTGGTCTATGAGTGGAAAAATCTATACAGCATTATAAACAGAACCCTTGATGAGGTTGGGTTGCAGCCAAGAAGTTGATCTGTAAACATTACTTTATCATCTCCAACTTCTGCAATGGAGCAGGTAGAAATGGCAAGGATTTGCTCATCTTGTTTTCTTCTGTTTTGTCATGCAATGATACAGTGAGTGATTTCACAATATGAAGCAGGAAGGATTGCCCTACATCTCAAAACCCTGATTCTAAGTAGTCACAAAGGTACAGCAAAATTGCATTCTCATCATAAGGCATAATTGTGCACTGAAAGGAGTGCAGAGTGCAATTGTAGGAAATACTGTCTAAGTTAAAGAGCCTCTAGAAAGCTCAGGAGCACCCCTGCTCTCTCATCCACAGCAGTAATCCCTGCATTTCTGAAGAGGTTGCCTGAAACTGCATGCTGCAAATATAGCTACATCTTCTGCCTACCTCCTTGTCCCCAGTGCAGTCTCTTTTTCTGCAAGCAGCAGAGATAATGATGTTAGATTACTGTGGGATAATAGAGAGAGAGTGTTAGGAAAATGTTCCTGGCAGGAGCTCTGAAATAGAACTAGCTATCTCTGCTGGGGTATAGCTCAGCTTTGTCTGTATTCAGGACATGACACACCTTCTGTTTCTGCTGGGAAAAGGAAAGGTAGTAGTGCTGAGCTAAAAGTCAGTATACAGATACGTTTTAATATTTGCCAAAGGACTGCAGTTCAGTCAATTGTGTTGCATGTCATAATTGAAAAATAACTGGCAGTGTACTCGCACCCCATCGATGAGCACTTCGTATCAAACAAATTAAACAAACAAGGCAAGTTTGGGAATGTCTTGTTTTTTTCCAGTGATGTTTGGAAGGGTGAGCCTGGTTCTGCACTTGAAATGAGGTGTTGGTCAGAAACTGTAAGTATTAAAATGTTTTAGTTACATGGGCCATTTCCAGAAAGTAAATAGACTGTGAAAAATTTCCACTTTGAATTAATTTCCAAGCAAAATATCAGATATCCTGAAGGGGCAAGATAAACTAACCACTGCTTATTTGTATCAATGACAGTCTAAGATTTCTCTCACTGTCTGGAAATCGGCATCATTAATCTTTCCTTCCCTTCCCACATTCTGTTTTCTGAATGCTATTTATAAAACATGGTTAAAAAATCTAAACAATAAGGCTATTCCCAAAAAGTACAATACTTCACAGGAGTAGTAAATTGTGCCCTGGATGGTCAGTAACTAGAGGTAGTTTCTAGCAAACCATAATCATGAACAATTTGAGGGGGTTGGCCCAGTTTGGGGATTAATGCTTTTTCTTGGTGGTGGGCAGGTGTTTCTAGAGCTTTAATAACATTTGCTACTGGGAGTAAGAAATAATCCATGAAGTTTCCATCACTTTCAAAAGCAGAAACATCTGTGGGAGACCCGAGTCTGCTGGCAGAGGTCAGCTGCATAAATGCCTGTAGTTCATCAGCTTTGCTCTTATTAAAGTTTCAGTGTGAACTATTATAAAGAGGGTGATCACAGGACACAAACAGCTTTTGACTAAAGAAATGCAAAATCCATTATTGTTATAATGATTTTTCAGGTAGAAAATGATTTAAAGGGACTTAGAGGTGGTGCCAGACAGCAAGTAATTGATCCACTTGCCTCTGTTGTGACAAGGAACAGGTCAACATAATAGTATAAAACAGGAGACAATACCTAGACAGAGCAGATCTAAGACTCAAGAATCCTGTGTCCCCAGGACAGAGAGGAGTCAGAAGACCTGAGATAATCAAGTGTGGTAGGTCGTGACATATGTGTGGCCAGATGAGGGAAGCGATGCAGGCACTTAAGTTTAGGCATCTAGTGACAGTTGAGTTGCCCTAGGTGATCTGTATTTGTTTTCCACACAGTTGTTCCATGTATCATCTAGTATTGCTAGCTACAGTGTTCAGAAGCCTCCTCAGTCGGGGGACTGGAAACACAAAAGATAAGCTATATGGAGCAAAAGGGATGAAACAGTATAATAAGCTTCTTTGCAGCTACCAAAGCATTGTGTAGGTACTGCCCTGCTAAAGACTTTTTTTTTCTTTTCTTCGGCAAATTGTTTTCCACCTTCTGCAATGCAGAGAACCTAAAAAAACCCTGTTTTTTCAGTTACACTAGAGATCATTCAGATTACATTCCTATCTGTTAGTGTTCACTTTTCTAATGCAGGTCAAGAAGCTTAATTTGTCTCTGCAAAAACTTTTTTTTTTTTTTTTTTAAGGGGACAGGAGTTGTTATTATCTTTTTATGAATGGGTTGAAGGCATATAGATAAATACCATTGTGAGTACTTAAGTGCTGAATGTTGTTATTGTCCCTGCTCTCAAGTCACGTGAATTTACCTCACTGAGCTTTCTTCCTCTCTGCTCCTTCCTAGCCTGAACTCTGTAAGACAGCTGTCCAACTGTCCAGTGGTACTACAGATTGGGTCTGATATGAAGCAAGCTTTTCCTCATAATGCCAAACAAAAAAAACCCCAAACCAACAAACAAAAACCTGCCAACAACAACAAAAAAACCCAAAATTTTGAAACTTAACTAAAAATACTGAGAAGGTTTGAAGCAATAAAGAAAATATACCTCCCTATCTCTTTTACCCGTACTCTATCTGTCTCTTACCTAACCTTAAAATAAAAGCAGTGATTCCTTTTTCCTTTGCTGTTACTTGCAAAACTCAGTGGGTCTTTCTGTCTGAGCTAGACACAAATATCAATGACGAATGCACTACAGTGACTGCAAATTCAGATACATTTCCTTCTAAGCAATGTGAAGGAGTGATTTTTTTTTTCCTCCATTACTCACAAGGCATCACTCTCAATGTACTCTGACTGCTGAGAAATATCAGTAGGTTTTGAAATGAGTAAAATTTTTTGTTGTTGTTGACATTTGAAAATGCCCGGAGAGAGCTGTATGGGCAATTGGACACACTCAGTTGTCTATCCTGCTGGTGTTGTTAATTTGCAAGGGGAACATTTGCATTATTTGTCCTTTGAAACCAACTTGGACAACTGACTAGAACAGCTCCATTCCTCATCTATGGAGAATGATACCCTCTCCAGAGGGCAGTTCTCAGTACCCAAGTCAGGGCTTCTGTTACGAATCAACATCTAAAGAAACTTTTCTCCTCCAGTGACTGTAAAGGGAGTGAATCTATGATCCCTTTCAAGGAGTCCAGAGCAGTAATGGTGGAATCAGTAGTTAGGAATCATGAGAAGGTGATGTTGTACTAAATTGGATTGGGACTAAAATAACACTGTGTTCATAAAAGAAATGCGGTTAGTATTGTTCAGGTGGCTGTATTTGGCCACCTCCCCTTCATTACTATTAGAAGGCTATGAAGGAAGCTTAGCAATGCACACACTTGAGATTATGATATCCAAAGAGAAAATAAATAACTGAAACAGATTGGTGATTTTGACACATGCTTCTTTCCTGTATGTCAGTGTGAAATTTTACAATTATTCACACTCTAGCATTGCTCTGGCCTCAGAACCTTTTTAAGATCAGAAAAACCTTGTGTTTTACAAGAAGACCTTTTGGTGTAAAACCTTTCTTAGTTAGGCCCATCTCATTTAAATTTCTTTTCAGTAGACCAGTAGACTAACGAAATTTCTTTACTTCAAGATGCTGCATGCAGGATTGCCTGAGCTAAACAGCATTCAGGATCCGAAGTACATGTATGATAACCTCTGTCCTCAGGACTCAGACCTCCAGGCTTCAAGTTACTTTACAATATAAAACCAGAATACAATCCAGAAACCTCATCTCCTTTGCGCATGAAGCAAAACTGTCAAATAAAAAAAAATAAATTAAAAAAAAAATACAGCAACAGTTTTTGTGTTAAGAGGTTGTAATCAGTGAAATTACACAAAAGAATAATTGTTCTTCACATGTTTGCTTTTAAAAAGTCCATTCCTTGCACATGTTAAAACCAATGTCCTCAAATTTCTGGAAGAAACATTCATGTAATTGTGGTACACTTGAAACAAACCATTTAAGTGCCTAGAGATTTCTTCGGCTTTCACAGTGAAACCATCCTGGTTTATATCTAGTCAGCTTTTCTTTCTGCTTTTAAATGCAGCAGCTATATGCCACAGGATTTAGACTGCATTAAAATGTTCAACTTGCTAATGGATTTAGTGAGGACCTGGTATTCCTGCATTTTAGTCCCTTTTCTGTCCTTTTGACCTGTGTTGCCTCAGGGAAGTTACTTTCCTTCTGTCCGCTGTAGTTTCTCCATCTGCAAAATGTTACTAATTCTTCCTTTTAAGCACTTAACAGATCTATCACAGAAAAGCATCGGGTGTGAATAATAGTTATGTTTAAAACTTGATTTTTGTTAGGATAATGAAATCTTTACTTATTTGTGATAATTACTCGGGATTATTGAGGAGGAGCTGCAGATGATGTGTATAAATCAGTTTGAAGCCCTCAGTCCTGATCTTTCAGGTCAGGCATCTGCATTATAATTCCAACTGTTGATGTGATCATGCTCTAGATGGAGCCAGTGGAGACTGGATTTGGAAGGTCCCTTTCCCATTCTAGGCACAACATGAGAAAAATATCTCCCTGTCAGAGCTTGCCCTGTGCAGCACCACCATTTCCAAGGGCAGTCTGTGACTTCACACACCCTGGACACCCATGTACACCTGCAAAGCAAGGCCGACTCTTCTGACCACCTCCTGGTGCAAGTGGAGGGCACATACCCAGTTTACAGCACTGGACTCTGAGTGAAGGGCTGCTTTCAAATTCAGAGCACTAAAGGACATTCCCACAAAGCAGCACAGTTCTCTGCAAGTGCAAACTGCCTTGAGGCAAGAGCAATCCCACTACCCTTCAATACAGCCAGAGGGCACATTGCAATAAATAACTGAGGTGTAAGCTTAAACTGGAGCAGCTGAGCCAGCCTCCTTCCTATTACAGAGGCCCATATGAAGGTTTTGGGCAATTTGAATTGTTATTTATATGTCTCGTTTTTGTGTATTGGAATTGGAAATTGAGGCAGCAGGCTCATAGAAGGCTGGAACAGAGACCTAGAGAGTTTAAGGAAGACTATTCTTTGACAAGAAAGAGAGGAACTTCTCAAACAAAATTATTGTTCCATTATTTTTTTACAAAGCACAGCACTAAGTTCCTCCTCATTTAACACTTGTTTTTTCATATTCATTTAACACTTGTTTTTTCACTCTTGCCCCTTAGCAAGATTGTCTTATTTTAAAATTTAATTACAACTTCATATTTACGAACTCCTACCTTATGCTTCCCTTTAAAATTTACATATTCCTAAATTACAGACTTATATTTCCTCTTCAAATGGGAGACATGCAGTTTCTAATTAAATTGTAAAAGTTTTGATTCTGTCAAATAGTTTGGGTGGTTGTGTCTGTCTCTCATGGGGAACAACCCAGTTCATTCAATTAGTGAAAAAAAGGCTAGGATATGCATAACAAATAGGGAATTGTGAGTCTTCAGAGTGAAAATTGCATTAGTATCATGCAAGGTTCAGAGCTAGTGCCGTGTGCTCTTCTGGAGGTGGAAAGGATCAATATGCTTTTCAGTTGGGTGGGACTAAAGCTAAGATTAATATCACTGCAGTCTTGCTTAGCTGGTAGAAAAAACATGAAAGTTGAGTTCATTTGTAGCTCCATCATCTTTCCTGGAGTTAGGCAAGGTGGTTGTGGTGTTTTGAGGGTAATGGTGAAGGAAGTGAGGGACTTCAGAGTGGGAATTCATCTGCAGTCTTTCTCAGCCAAAGTATGTGGAATAACAGCTGGCATTGGGAAGGAGATGTGACTCAATATTGTTTTCAAAGTAAGAAGAGCTGATGTGTATAGGTTATAGGGGCCCTAGAAGGCTGGACACTCTTTAAGATAGTAGTCTTAATGGCACAGGAGCAGGCGGTCCCCAGGTGCTGTAAGAGAAACCAGCAGTATGGAAGACCACCCTGGCTAAACAGGGAGCTTTGGCTGCAACTCAGGGAGAAAAGGAGAATTTACAGCCTTTGGAAGAAGGGGCTAGCCACACACAGTGATTACAAAGAGGCTGTGAGGCTATGCAGGGTGGAAATCAGGAGGTCTAAAGCCCAGCTAGAAGTTAATCTGGCTTCAGCAGACAAGGATAACATGAAAAGTTTCTATAAGTATGTCAACAGTGAAACAAAGACTAGGGAGAGCCTCCATCCCCTGCTAGATGCAGGAGGAAACATGGCAACAAGTGATGAGGAAAAGGCTGAGGTGCTTAATGCCTTCTTTGCTTCAGCCTTTAATAACAAGACCAGTTGTACTGAGGGAATCCAGCCTCCTCAGCCAGAAGACAGAGACTGGGAGAACGACCCCCCACAATCCAGGAGGAGACAGTCAGTGACCTGCTGCATCACACAGACACACACAACTCTATGGGACGGGATGGGATACACCCGAGGGTGCTGAAGGAGCTGGCTGGGGTGCTTGCCAAGCTGCTTTCCACCATTTACCAGCAGTCCTGGCTGACTGGGGAGGTCCTGACAGATTGGAAATTGGCCAATGTGACGCCCATCTATAAGAAGGGTCTGAACAATGATCCGGGGAATTACAAGCCTGTCAACTTGACTTTGGTGCCCGGGAAGCTGATGGAGCAGCTCATCCTGAGTACCATCACACAACACATGTGGGACAACCAGATGCTAAGGCCCAGTCAGCATGGGTCTGTGAAAGGCAGGTCCTGCTTGACAAACCTGATCTCCTTCTATGACAGGGCGACCTGCTTATTGGATGAGGGAAAGGCTGTGGATGTTGTCTACCTTGACTTTAGTAAGGCCTTTGACACCGTTTCCCACAGCATTCTCCTGGTGAAACTGGCTGCTCACAGCTTGGATGGGCACACGCTTTGCTGGGTAAAAAACTGGCTGGATGGCCGGGCCCAAAGAGTTGTGGTGAATGGAGTTAAATCCAGCTGGCGGCCGGTCACAAGTGGTGTTCCCCAGGGCTCGGTTTTGGGGCCACTCCTGTTTAACATCTTTATTGATGATCTAGACGAGGGGATCGAGTGCACCCTCAGTCAGTTTGCAGATGACACCCAGTTGGGTGGAAGTGTTGATCTGCTCGAGGGTAGGGAGGCTCTGCAGAGAGACCTGGACAGGCTGGAGCCATGGGCTGAGCCCAACTGCAGGAGTTTCCATAAGGCCAAATGCCGGGGGCTGCACTTGGGCCACAACAACCCCCAGCAGTGCTACAGGCTTGGGGAGGAGTGGCTGGAGAGCTGCCAGTCAGAGAGGGACCTGGGGGGGTTGATTGACAGCTGGCTGAACAGGAGCCAGCAGTGTGCCCAGGGGGCCAAGAAGGCCAATGGCATCCTGGCTTGTGTCAGCAATAGCGTGGCCAGCAGGGACAGGGAAGGGATCTTACCCCTGTACTCGGCACTGGTGAGGCTGCACCTCGATGAATGTGTTCAGTTTTGGGCCCCTCACTACAAAAAGGACATTGAATGACTCGAGCGTGTCCAGAGAAGGGCAACAAAGCTGGTGCAGGGTCTGGAGCACAGGTCGTACGAGGAGCGGCTGAGGGAACTGGGGGTGTTTAGTCTGGAGAAGAGGAGGCTGAGGGGAGACCTCATCGCCCTCTACAGCTACCTGAAAGGAGGGTGCAGAGAGCTGGGGATGAGTCTCTTTAACGAAGTATCAAGCGATCGGACAAGAGGTAATGGCCTCAAGTTGCACCAGGGAAGGTTTAGACTGGATATTAGGAAGAATTTCTTTCTAGAAGGAGTTGTTATTAGTTGGAATATGTTGCCAAGGGCAGTGGTGGAGTCCCCATCCCTGGAGGTGTCTTAGAGTTGGGTCGACATAGCGCTGAGGGATATGCTGTAGTTGGGAACTGTCAGTATCAGGTTAATCATTGGACTAGATGATCTTCAACGTCTTTTCCAACCTAGATGATTCTGTGACTCTGTTTTGTTGCCTGATAGAGGTTCATATTAGGGTTAGGAATCCTGTTCAGCCCAGAGAAACTGTAGGTAGTACTCAGAGGCCAGCATGTCCTTCTTCACATTACATTTCTTGTTAGGGCTGGTGTTAAGGAAACAAAGTGGAAATGCTGCTCAAGTCCTGCTTACCAGCAAAACTGGCATTACATATAGATCTGTACTGTGCTGTGGGTTCTGCTTTTATTTGAAACTATTTTCTCCTAATATATTTTTAGTGAACTCCGGAGCTATTGTTCCATTTTCCTTCAAAATGTTTAAATGTAGATTTCTTATTGTCTGTATAGATCATTACATTACATAGAAAAGTCAGATGTTGCTTGGGTGCATATTTTGTTCTTTAATACTCTTAGGGTATGTTTGTAATATATATGCTCATTTGTAAGAAGAAAGTCTCTTGTCATTAGCTCAGGAATTTCCGTGGATCTCATTTCTCTTTGAGCTTTTTTTTTCCTTTATTCTAATTTGGATTCATGTTTGAACATAATTTGTGTTAATTCAACACATGTATTAACTCACGTTTCTACATGTTTAAACATGGGCAGAACATCAGGCTTCATGGCTATTAGTACTTTAACTTCTGAAAAGTGTATCCAGGCACTTTTCATAATAAAGACTTTAGGATGGCCTGATACCTGGATCCATGCAGAATTTATCCCTCTGTATAAGCATTTACTGATCTACCCCCAGGAATGTTAATATATTGAGATTATTGTGAGCTTTGCATTACCTACATTATCCTTACTCCTGTCCTTTAGAAATTTTTTTCCCTACT